ATGCTAGAAGTCTACTTAATATCTGACACTTAATATATGATTAATATATGATTCTGTGAGCAACACTAGCCCTTCTTGATTCCTAATGACGCTGGATGTTTTGTTCCTCTGAAAGAGGTGGAGGAGAAAGTACTACAGTTGAGGAAAGCTTTTTGTCTTACCAAGATCAGCTTTTGGAACCTGCAAGCTGTAAAATTGTTTTCCTGAAAAAGAAACAAAGGATTTTGTCCTACTTTTCTAGCGATTAGCTTTTGTTTAATCTTCCAATCTTCTAGCATACTGAATCACTGACTACTCTAATAACAACTTACTAGTTAATCCTTATGAAACATGTAGGGATAATTCAGCCTAAGAAACAATTCATGTTTTACTGGCTGTCAGTTTATGTCATAATTTCTGCTGTTAAACAGAGAAAAAAAAAAAAAAAAAAGAAATGTGTGTTTTTCCCCTCAATTTAATTTATTTATTTTCAGTGAACTCTCTATTGGCAGTCTTCTCAGCTATTTTGGGCATTTGCATCATAGATGGCCTTTTTTTTTTGTTTGTTTGTTTTTTGCCCATTTTCATTTTATGTTCTCTTAGAGCAGACCAGAGGTAGGAAAATAAAACCTATCAACTTGTGACAGTGGTCATTTTTTTGTTGTGCATGCCACACAAAATGAGGACTTGACTGCAGTTCACAGACAAGTCAGCAGTACAGTGAAAATCAATGAGAGCTGCTGCTGATTAGCTGTAGGACTACCATTAGAGCCATGTTTCACAATGTGCTTTTATGCCAGTGAGACAATTCTCCTACCTTAGTACATCTTTCAGGCCAGTTCCCTGTGCAAGGATTTGCCTTCTGAACTTTGTCCTCTGTGCCTCTATTTTTCTTTTTTTGATTTGTCTCCTTCAGATCTTCCCCCTGACTCACTTACTCGCACATCCTTCTGAGACATTTTAAAAATAGATGTCTGAAAATAAGAACATTACATAAAAGCGTGGAATCACTGAGGCACATGGAAAATGGTCGTAATAAATCATTCTTCCTCCTTTACCCTTTGCATTATCTGTGAACTCCTTCAAATGGATAATTTAATTTTCTCTACAAGTAATACACTCAGTAAACAATGTTGCTGGATCTACTGATAGCAAGCAGTAACTCTGAGTCAGGATTATTTCAGGCATTTGGTTGGCTTAATGTGGGGAAAATGTCTATAAGCCAGATTGGATGGACTAAACCATGTCTTTAATAGGGTCTCAGTTGTTGGTGCTTATCAATGTAACATCATACAGTAATGACCACTGTATTCAAGAACAGTTATTGTAAAAATTACATGCTGTACTTTGACTACCATTGGATATCACTACTTGGTGTAAAAGCAAACCATTTTCAAATATATACCAATTATATTCCAGTATATGATACATTAAAAAAAGAAGCACTGTTTTTTTTTTTTACCAGGAGCTTGCAGATAGCTCTTGAGACATTCATCGGACTTTCCATTCTCAAAAGGCACACATCAATAACCATGACTGTTTATTTCTTTTGTCATGAATTCCCTGGGAAGAAGGGCTGATCCTGAGATGGGTCTGTGATTGATGCCTCTCAACTGAAAGGTACTATAAGGGCCTTGGACAAAACTGCCTCCCTTTTTATAGTAGGAGCAAACAAAGCTGAGTATGAATTTCATAGAGTCATAGAGTGGTTTAGGTTGGAAGGGGTCTTAATGATCATCCAGTTCTACCCCCTGCTGTGGGCAGGTCTACCACCCATCACCTCAGGCTGCCCAGGGCCCCATCCAACCAGGCTTTGATCACCTCCAGGGACGGGGCACCCACAGCTTCCTTAGGCAGCTGTGCCAGTGGATTTCCTGGAGTAAAGAGCACAACATCCTTTTGCTATACCATATCTTGGGAAACACCACATCATCTTCCTCTCTAGGAATATTATATTCTACATAAAGATATAGGCTTACAGGAGAGCCAGCTAAAGCTCTTCATTTTGGTTGCTTGTGGGATTTTTAAAAGAGTGGAGCCAGCACAAGCACAGAAAAATTTCTGTGTTAATGAACCAGGGTGGGAGATGAAAACCAGCTGGGGATTGTTACAGGTTGCCATGAAGAGCAGTGGTTTGGACCTCTTGGAAAGTTCAGATACCTGGGACAGGAGGCCAGCATGCTGGTAGACAGAAGGAAAGGTATCTCCTTTTCTGTAAAGAATTTGAGCTGAAGGAAACGAGTGTGGTGTTCTCTGTCAATCCTCAAAGTTAGAACTAGTTGTTTCTGCATTATTTATCAGTGCTGAGGTTTCATACGTCTCTTCTGAATACTGGAAGAAAACATTGCATGCGAGATCTCTACAGAGGATCTCTGTTGAGTCAAGGCTGAAGGATTTAATTGAGAAAGGGCTTGAATGTATTGGAAGCAGAACAAAATGAAAGCTGAAGTTCAGGAGGCTGACAGCTGCTGCTATCCTCATCTTGTAGATGACCAGAACTCAGGTTCTCAGAAATACAGTTTGCAGCATTTCTTTCTAGCAGGGACTCTGGGCTCAGTATTTCACCTGATACCCCTCAGGTGGGATGAAGAGGAGCAGTTTGACTGCTGTATCCTGGGACCAAGTTGTGCTTTTCACAATGAAAATTTCCCTTGAACCGTGTCAGTTTTTCTTTCATCTCATGTGTACTGCTGAGGTAAAACAGTGGAGGCAGTTGATTTCCCTTTGCATTTCTTTTAATATATGAAGTAATACTATCTGACTCTGAAAACTCACGCTGACTCTTCATTTTTATTTTTTTTAAACTTTCTTTCTTCCCTTAACACTAGAGTACATTCTTGCCCTCTAGGTAAACCTGAATCAAACTTAATTTGCTATCTTCTTGCCTTCATGCTAAGCTAGCCAAGATACTTTACTGCTAATTTCACAGTTCTCAATACCTCAGGGCAATGCAGCTTCTGTAATGTTTCAAGCCCAGTGATTGATGTCTGTAGTTAGAAATGAGTGCAGTGGTCTTGCAAGTTTGGAAATGTGCCCATGCATCTGAGCTGCACCTTTATCTTGCATGGCAGAGCAGGTGCCACTAGGTGGCTGTCGGGCAAAAGGAGTGGGTACCTCTGGGTGGCATGCAGGGCAGATCAGGGTTCAAGGAAGGTCCTCCATGGAGTGGTTTTGTGGTAGGGTCTTAACTCTCAAAAAGTTTAGGAGGTGGAGAGAGACTTAAACATGATGAATTGTGCTTCTATGGTTTGAAACATCACTGTTAATTAAATGAACCACTTGATGTGAATGAACCTCAGTTTGTGTGAAGTCTGATTTAGTAATTAATACGTTCAAGAGGGAAAATTCCCAAAGGCAAAATGGGGCTGCATCACTGGATTATCTTGCTTTTTTTTCAACTCACTTTTATAATTTGTTTTACACCATTAGAAGTACATGTTAAAACTGCTTTGCAATAATATAATGCCTTCATCTTGGAAGTCAGTAACGAAATAGGTAAGATGCTGAACAAGAAGGGGTCCAGCACAGTGACCCAGCACAGTAAGCAGTGGGTTCCTGCTTGGCCTTTGGCTCAGACCTGGATGGAACAGAGCTGGAACACAATCATTAAAGACTGAGCACATCATCTGTCTGTGTGTGCATCACTTCCTTGATAGACTGGAAGAGTGGGAGAAGATCCTGAATGCTGATATCTGAATATTGGCTCCACACCAAAGCAGTGTCCCTGCAGATTTAATTACTCTCATTTGGACTTTTGGCACATACTTTGATGTTTCTTCAGTAATTTTCTTCAGTCAGTAAAAGTACACACAGTGACTGTATTGGGAAGGAGACCAAGGCAATGTCACAAAGACACTCTTAAATCCTCAGATGTGAAACTGCAGGCTATAACTGGGGAGGTGTTAGCTTAAGAACTATCTGCAACAGCACAGCCTATTTACTGATCCTCCTAAAGCCTATGAATAAAAAGTGGATTGCAACTGTGCAGCACAAAAGGCATGAAAGGGAAGAGGAAACCAATGGGAAACTAAAGGGAAGAGGCAGCCAATGAGTTATGGGAACTGGAGTAATTTCCTACAGGTACACCCCCCAAGTTTCCTGAGGAAAAACCCTCCATTAATACTTGTTCTTCTAGGCATGTTTTGCTCCTGTCTCATGAGACCAAGTCAGACAAATTCAGGCCACTGGGACAATTCCCAGGCAGAACTTCTGACAGGGTTAAACTCTGTGCAGTGTTCAGCTTAGAAACCACTTGACTTTACCTGCCACTTTAGAGAAAAGGAAAACTTCCAAAACTAATAAGCTTGGTTATTCAATAGAAAAGCAGTTAGAAGAAATGAGTGCTATTGCTGCTTTGTTGTGTGGTGCTCCAAGACTTGTTGGCTGGTTGCTCTTACTCTGAATAAAATGAGAGGATCGTGTAAATATTGGCAGTCCTCAGTGCTGCTTTTTAGCCAAAGATGAGCAAGCAAACAGCTGTGATTATGCCAGCTTTTCTCAAATAAGCGTGCCCTTATGAGGAGCAGGTTCAGCACCTCCCTGTGGTTCTAATTAGTGTATTCTCTCCCAGGTACAGGAAGGCAATGATCATCTAATAGTGATTTACAGGTTGGAATATTCCCTCCTTTTAGAGAGCCTTTACTAGCCTCTCTTCTTTCTGTTGGAGATTGGATGGATCCAGAATTTCTGGTTTCCCTTCCAGAATCTGGAAATCTGGCATTGGCTTTGAAGGTCTTAAGGAGCTTCCTTTTGGAAAGGTGGGTGGTTGGGTGGAGTTGGTGTGGCAGTTTTGGACTGCATAGCCTGTCTGGATCTATCTGAAATGACAATATGCAGCAGTATCCATATAGATAAAACTGGAAATACAAAGGTTTATCTTTGAGTCTGATATTGTCAACAGGGAAGTTGCAGGTCTCACAGTGCAGCTGAACTTCTACAGTCTGAAGTCTTGGTCATGGTTATTGGTAAAAAGATGGTTAATCTTTCTCTTCAGCTTTCTGATAGTCTCTTCTGCATTTCAGAACTTCTTCATGAAGCAGGATGATGGAAGTGAACATATTACTGCAGCAGTGCAGAAGTCCTTACAGCCCTATTCTCAACTGTGGTAAGTTGGCTGAAGTCTATGAATTTTAAGAGTGGTAGTGATTCACAGCACATCTAGGCTATCTTCCTTTATTTTTTTCCCTTTGGAAGCAATACTGAAGCAGGCAATGAAAAACGTGGAAATTTGGGAGATAATTTGAAACTGATTTATCTTTTGTTCTGGGCAGTGTGCCCTCCAAAAATCTTTCTCTTGAAATGCAATATTTTTTATAAGTGCTACTCAAAGGAAAGTCCTATTGGTCACAATTTTATGTAGAAAGGCAAAATTCTGTAGGGAAATGCAATTTTAGATTTAATCTCTTTGAACATTTCATAGTCTGTGAATCACTGGCACGAATCTATTTGACCTTTAATTTCCCCTAGGTGTCTTTGTATTGGTATGAAATTAGCTTCATTTGCTCTTGCATGCATACTTACACCTGAATGAACTGATAGCATCATCTTTATCGACTCTGTAAATGATTGTACTAAAAACACCCACTTCGTGTTACGTGCAGGCACCATCCCAGTTAGGAACTTCTGTATCAGTGCTGGAATTACAAATAAAGCTGTGTTAATAGTAGAAGTCAAACCAGAAATTTACTGGCACTGGGAAAGGCAAAGAGAGATTCCAAGTAAACAGTGTTACTCCTTATTGGTATTGATCTCCCTGGCAAGGCTGGATGAGGTTGGCTTTGGTTATAATGGAAAAAGGACACATTTGTGAGTTGAGGTGGAATAACAGAGTAGATTTTTTGCTATTATCCGTGTTCAGAGTGATTCTGTGATCTGACACAGTGTATTTACCTGACTTCCCCTGACACAGTGTATTTGCCTGACTTAGAATTGTGTGAAAACTTTCCTCCTCAGTCTATGATCAGAACATCAGCCTGTCTGGTTTTACCTTGTGTTTCCTAAAAATATCCTGAAAAACCCATAGCAATTGTGCTATACAAGTCTATTCACGTGTCTTTGCTGAACTGTAATTTTTCCTTTAATCATCCGTAGCTCTTAGCCTCGTAGCTCTTCTCTCTGAAGCTTTGAAGTTTCCAGGAGTTTGTGTCTGAGCACAGGTGACTTTTGGAATTCTCATCTAAAAGTCTCTCAGAGGTAGAACAGCTCTAATTTGGTATAGAATCACAGTTAGAAAAGTTCCAGGATATGTAGCTAAAATATCTGACTAATTAATGTTTTGTGATTTGGAGGAAAAATAGATCAAGAAGGCAAAAAGGTTTACTGTTGTCACCTGCTTTGTTGTTCTGCTGTAGGCATTTCAAGAAAATGATTTCCATGTTGAATTTTAATTAGAAAATGTTGACTGATTATTCTTAAAAGACAGCATATGTGTATGACACCTACAGGATGATACAAGATCTGTTGATTGAAGGAAATAAAAGCACTTCAGATTTGTTTTAAAAGCATTCTCTGTTCATGAATGCAATTCAATTATCTTTAGAATTTTCTACACTGTAGCTATAAGGTTATGAACACTAATAGGAAAATTCTTTAATGAGATGACATTTGTGTAACAAATGAACAGTTTGTGATGTGGGGCTCAAACAGTGAGCAGGCAAAAAGGAAAATAAAGCTGTGGAATGAGGAGAGTATTCAGTCAGAGCCCTGTCTGTATAGGGAGTGCAGAGTTAAAGGCAAGTGGTGGAACACTGGCAAATAGTCGTGCAACTTGATTAAAATTAACTGTAAAAAGTCATTGCATGCTCACAAAAGCATTGCAAGAGCTTCACTGCTGTGCAAGGTCAATGTAAACCACACCTCATCTACTCTGACTTCAGGCAGAAGAAAAATTCTGCATCACCCCATTTGCTCTTAGTGAGAATAGTCACAGTTTCCTGAAAGGTGATTAAAAAGGAATTATTTTGAAGAGGTAGAATGAAACCTGTTGACTCGTGCTTAGTGTCCAGCTGACTAATACTTGGCTGAGCACTGGAACTGGCAAGCACTTTAGAAGTTATTACATCTCTGCCATCTGCAAGCATGGTGCTGTACTAACACATTAAGTACTAAAGGAATTTTTTAAAAACAAAATTGCCAGGTATGAAGCAGTAAAGTTTTTCATTTACGATTTAAAATTATAAATGCTATTAGCTTTTGTATCTGGAAGATTACATTTTATTACTGGTTATGGTACTTCTTACTCATGTCATTACAAACTGTAACTTTCAGCAGAGAAATACCCGAAAGGTTTTCTACATCCCATCTCCTTCAGATGCATTCTTCATTTGTACAACCAGGCAGGAATCCAGTATAATTAAATCTGTATGAATTTTTACCATTCCCTCTTGCTGAACCTACTTAAATATTCTGTTGAGGTGCTTCTTTGAGCACTCCTAGTTGTGCTATTGGTCCAAGCCTGCAGTTTGTACTTAAATCTTTCCTTGGTCCTTGCTAGAATGTATCTCTCTTGTAATGGAGTAACTTTGGGATACATTGATTCTGAAGCTTGTCATGGAGACCTGACGCTGGCAGGAGGGAACTACTGGAGAATGAAACTTTGGAGGCAAGATTTTTGAGACTTAGTTTCTATTGAAAGTAAGATGGTAAAGACAGAGACAAGCAAAACATCTTAGTTCTTTCTCTTTTCCTTGAGATTACAATTTTAGTTATCCAGGAAAAAAGCAGGGAACCTTAGAGTGTTAGGATTCCTTGTAACATTGCAAACTAAGAACTGGAAGTCCTTACCAAGGTTTAACTTTAACATGAGACTGACAATTCATCATTCACAGGAATGAAAACTTTGTGATGTTCTTGCAGGGAATGTGCTGTACATTTCCTTGACCTTCTACATTTTCATTGTTATTTATAGATAACAAAAGTCCTCGGGGGGAGGGGAGAAAGGTTACAATCTTTAATTTGGAATAAAATCAGAGGGAACATAGTCAGTGTAATTTTTATTGGCAGATATGCTTAATGGTTTATAACAACCAAAGGAATGAAGTAATTAGCTATCCTGTTTGGGCATGTTTGAAATCAAGAATATATATATATATTGACAAAAAAAAAAACCACCCACCTTAGCTCAGCTCTTATTTATGCATAGGATATGCAGTGTACTTAGGAGTAAATTATAGAATAATTCACTTAAATAATGTATTATTCCCTCCAATTAATTTGTGACTTAAATAATAAACCTGATATCTGAAATATGTATGAATACTAGTGACTGGCTGCAAACTTCACATTGCTAAAGACAGTTAGAAATCAGCCTGCAGCAGACCTAACAGTAGGCTGAAAAATACCGAACCTGTGAAAGTAATGGAACTTCCTAACCAAAATAACATTTCCATTTTTATATAATCCTTTGCTACCAGAGGAACTGATGAAAGTCAAAACCAGCTGGAAAGTAGCTGGGAGGTAGAAATGCCGCAGTGAAAGTTTGGAACCATTTGCAGAATCCCTGAAGTTAGAGTGAGGTCAAAGCAGAGGTCTTATTCCCTCAGTACTGCTTCAACATCATAGAACACTTGCAATTATTTTGTGATCAAACCCCATTGATTGTGTTTTGGTCTCAAGCCAGACTGGAAATTGGAAGGGTCCTGTATTGCATTTTCATGTGATCCTGTCCCTCTGCTTGCTGATTTGCAGAAGAGGATATCTACTGATTTCCCTAAAGAAAACATTCTTGCTGGGAGTTTTGTGGGTCCTTCACTGTACAGCAGAGATGTTGATATATCAGAGTACCAATGAGAATTTTAACAAGGGATGTAATGCACTGGGGAGAACTGAAGAATGTGGCTCACATTGGATAACAAGTGCTGGTCCTCTGCATCTGCTGGGATTTGGATTCGGGAAAGAGGCTCTGAACTAAGGCTGGATGCCAGGCACCTAAACTGCTCTTTTAATTAAGTCTAGTTATGAAATGATATGTACTTGGCAACAACAATATCTGCTAATTGTAACTACTTGTTCTGAATTTGTTTCTCAGTTGAATTACACAGGAACTAAATGTTCCCCTCGACATATTTTTTCCCTCCCTAATAACACAATGAATCATGAAGGATATTTTCTATGAAAGCTGCTTCTGGCCTGGTCCAGCTATCAGGATAAATTCAGTTACATGTGGAAATGTATGGCATGGTGCTGATTGGGGCAAAAATGCCAGTCCTTGTTTCACTGTTAAACATTGGTGATATTCTTTTCTTTTTTTCTTTTCTTTGAAGATTGGAGTGCTGTGATCTTAGGGGCAGAATTATGCCCATAAACCCCCACAGCCCCCATCACAGAACCTGTTGGACATTTGGTTGGTAATGGCATTTGTGCAGGAAAAAGTCCTGTACTTTTCTAGCTATTTGTGTGCTGAGAGAAATGTGTCTGGGTTAACTCTCTGTGGGACTGTGTTGAACTGACTCCTGAACTAGCAAGAAAACTGTTAATTAAGAAAAGTAAATCAATTCTATTACCTAACTGCTTGTATTTCCAAAGAGCGTGTCAGTGCTTCAGGGGATAAATGTCTTTCAGGGCTGTTCTGCAGCAGGGTATGTAATTCTCACAGGGATCACTGAGCAGAAGCAAGCACTGCCTTAGACATGGACTGTGATGGGCATTGTGACAGTGTGCAATGGCTGTTCCTGAGGAGCTGGAATGATGGTAAAGAAATACAGAATCAAATGCAGGTGGCATTGCAGACCCTGGAGAGGTCTGGGTTGTTGTACACATCTGGGCAGGAGTTGTTCTGATTTACTATCTGAGTAGTCCTGCTACAGAGAATTGCTGGCAAAATTAAAAGTTAAACAAGAAAATAAAATGTAAAAAGCAGGTGGATTTATGCATGAAACAGGGAATTCCCCGTTGTGTGGCAAATATAAATTCCTGCCATCTAGTATTAACTTGCTCCAGTTGTATTGGAACATCCCATCCATAATGCGCTAGAGTTTCTCTGCTTTAGATCAGAGTCAATAGCAGGATAAACCCTGGAGATTAATGAGTCACATGATCTGAACTGTGCCAACAACTGTGTTTTTCTGTACTTAAGCTATAAAGCACATTGAGGGGAGCCTCTAAAAAC